GCAGGTCATCTAGGTTATAATTCCAGCTCTACCACTTATTAGCTGTAAGTTCTCAGGCAAATTAACCTTTCTGAGACACAGTATCCTCACCCTCTATAGATGAAGAACAATAGTACCTAACTCAGAGAATTTGTGATGATTACGTGAGTTAATATATGTAAAACACTTAGAACACCACCTAACACATGGAAAGAGCTCAGTAAATGTTTACTTATGTTACTCTCATTATTATTTTATTACTATTTGTTTCCTTCTCTTCATCGTCTCTGCCACCAGTTCAAACCAGCATCAACTTTCACTAGATTACTGAAACTGCCTCTTAACTAAATATTTTTCCTCTAATCTTGTCCTGTCCAACTCATTCTTCACCCAGAAGGCAGAGTAGTTTAGATTTCAAAGTGAATCACATCTTCCTCGTGCTTAAATTCTGGTAAAGGCCCCATAGTTGTTAGGATAACATCCAAACTCATAAATATGCTCAGGAGGGCTGCTTTTACTCAAAAGAAAGGTATACTTCCAGTCATTCTCTAAGTTGCAGCTCAACTTTCCTGACCTAACTTATCAGAATCAAAAGTTCTCTCTTAAATGTTCACATCACAATGCTAATACTACAAATATTAATTAGAATTAGAGACTAGGCTATCTGTCAAACTCCACAAGAATGTGATCACCTTTAATTCAGGGACCATATTTAGTCATCTTTGTACCTCCAACACTTATTTCAGTGTATCACATAAAAATTCAATCCATGTTTGCTATCTGAATGCTGCATGATTAAGAATAATTTATAATCAAAATATTCCATCTCAAATGTCATGACACAGGTAAAACCACTCTTAAAACAGCTCCCATTTAAAAAACTCACCATAAAAATTAGCATTCATTTTGGAAGGAAAAGAATTCTGAATTATGGTAATTCTTACCTGGATATATTTCTTGCTATAATCACAACCTGGTTGTAAGGATTTGAAATCTACTTTCTGAAATTTACTTAGCCGCTGAACTTCAGGCACCCCGTTGACTTCCTTTATTAACTCAAGTGGCATATCACTTCTGCTTCGCAGTGTTGTCTGAATCAAATTCAACTAGGGAAGTTGAGAACTTGTGCTGAAGACACAAAGACCAGCGTTTTAACCAAAATGTGAATAATTTGCTTTAAGCAACTTAGTTTTAACCACTGCCTTTGAGTCGATTCTGACTCATAGAGACCCTGTAGGACAGAGCAGAACTTCCCCATAGGGTTTCCAAAGAGTGGTTGGCGGATTCTAACTGCCACCTTTTGGTTAGCAGCTGAGCCCTTAACTACCGCACCACCAGGGATCTATAGGGTCGCTACACAGGATCACTATGAGTCGGAATCGACTTGAAGGCACCTAACAACAACTTAGTTTTGCTTTTCCTCTAACTTATCACTGCGAGGGGGTGGTGAATTATTTGATAATTTTATTACAAGGATTAATACGTGAATTCTCCTAAGGCATTGACAGTAACCCTTTTATATTTAGCTTTTGTACTGAAAGAAGTGACCACAAAAGCCATAGTTTCAAGATCTCTGAAAATTGCGCTAACCAATGCCTTTATACCACTGTGCTTTGAAATGAAAAAGCTGTGTGTGGCTGGGGAGGGTTTGAAATTTTTGTTTGCTTTTGTTGTTGTTTTTAATTTCTTTGGCAGTTGTTTTAACAGTGTGTACCCAAACTGTGCACCACAAGCTTATTACTCCAAAATATATCTTGCCCCCATCCTTCCAACTAACTGAAAGGAACGACTAATAAACTGATGTGAACTTGTGCGCTGTAGTTCAATCTTACTTCTTAAATCTCTTGACCAGGACACTCAGTGTCAATATTTAATTTTAATGTGTGCACATCTCCCTTCCCCAAGTGCAGTCGAGCTCCGCGACGGCAAAGATTTGGACTCGCTCTGGCAGCTTCTCCCAAGGGCCAAACAAGATGCTGAACATCTTAACAGGAGGCTCACGATAAACACTCGTATGAAGGGTTTCTCTGTAATAACTACATCAAATTTTGATCTAAACTAAATCAATTTCTTTATAATATCATTTCAGACCCTGACCCACCTTGTATCCATGCAACGAACTCCAAACCTACTTAGAAATTTACTTACCCGCGATCTTTGAAAGAAAACTAGGAAGAATTTAGGCTGGCGCGCCCGTGACGTCATACGCACCCTGGCGGC